GTATCACAACCTCCACATGGGATTTTGTAGATGGCTTCTTTCTTATTGAGGTTGCTGACCCTATCCTTAAGGTATACTAGCTGGGTGCGTAAAGTAGCCATCGGTTCGTGCGCCACTTTTATTTGGTGTTTCCGCAAGTGTCGTTCAACGAGTTCAGACACATTCCTATATAAGGAAGGACTCGTCATGTATTTTTGTTGGGCGCTTGAGTGGAAGTATCTGTTTCCTCTATGTTGCGTTGTTGTTGTCTCATGCCTCGGCGTATAAAGCTTTCGGCGTAACCATTTCGGGAAAACAAATCACTGTGTTACCGACAGCGATACATCGTTAAGTAAAATCCCTAGAAATAATTGGGTTTTGTGTACTGAAAGATAGGGGGGACTGTGATCCATGTCGGATCGAGGACGGCGGCATACCCTAAGTTCCTTCCCTAGTCACTGTCGATGGTGGGCTTTTCGCCTGCGCTCCTTTGTCAATATGCTTTGCTGTTGAGTTGGTCTCATTATCCAATTACAATGGAGCCTCGGGGGACAAGCGACTCTGTCTACGGCCATTTAAGCTAACGAGCGAGCCATTTGCAAAAAAATGTTTCCGGTAACAAGCTTCCGCTCAGTTGTCAGTGCATGTGTGTGTCTGTGTCCGCCTTTGAGTCTTGCTCCAAGGGCGTGGGTCCTCATCGTCTGCAGCCAATTAGTGAACTGATGCAGTTTGATTGGCTGCGTTTAGCAAAACGAGCGTTACAGATGACGAGCACGGTGTTGGAGCGGATTAAACTCGTGCACCGAGGTCCCTTGTGTACTGGTTCTTGAATTGGCTTCCTAGAGTACACCATTTTGCAACTTTTTGTGAGCCACTATCCGACCATTTTTCTTTTATCCCGCCCCTTGAGTAGTAATGGTGAGCTTTATCTGCTCGCCAAGTCTGTTTAGCCGATCTACCTTTCTGAGCTACAAGCTGCAGCATACCTTACAGGCTCATCGTTAAACTAAAGACTTCCACTCTCTCCGTGCCTTCCTTCTGAGCATTGGTCCTCCGGACTAAAATTCGATCTACTTGGCAGCTCAGGGCTAGTGGAATATTTGCTGTTGACACAGATGCCACGCATGTCCTCGTTTATTCAGTCCTTAAAATATTTCAGTTATTCTTGCAGGATGTTTCCTTGCCTTAGGTTTTTGTTGCTTATTCACCCTGTTTGTGTTTCTTCCCGCCCAGGGTTGGATCATCGTATTGAGCCAAGTTTATTTTGCGGAACTATAGGCATGTGTCTTTAGCCGCTCTATTTATACTGAAATAATAGCAACATCTACGGTGTTGTCGAAATTTGAATATGTGTCAATGGGTGTGTGGTGGCGCAGAAATAGTGGGTGCCAAAGAACGCATTGACGATACCGCTTGGGTAGTATGTAATAAACTATGGACATCAGACAGAATGTGCTAAACGATGCGTTGTCTTGCTTGAAAGCATCCAACGAAATCAACAATATTATTGTTACTGAAACACAGTAAGTAGTATACTACGTAGCAGTACCATAACGGGTGGTTAAGGTTGAGCATTGTGTAATGCTGTACTGGCTTGTTGCCTCTTATGACTGTGCTGGACCGATCGATCCACACTATGTCTTTTCTGAGCCCTGACGTTAGCCATTAATTGCCTTTCTAGCCCCAGCAGCACCTATTTTTGCAGTTTAAACGCATATTAGGGCACATTTAGCCTTGCTAGGTCTCTTCAGTGTAATTTAAGC